GAGAGAGAGCGAGAGGGAGAGAGGAGGGGTGCCTGGGTGGCTTAGTCGGTTAAGCGTCCGACTTTCGCTTAGGTCATGATCTCGCAGTTCGTGGGTTTGAGCCCCGCGTCGGGCTCTGTGCTGACTGCCAGCTCAGAGCCTGGAGCCTGTTTCAGAGTCTGTGACTCCCTCTCTCTCTGACCCTCCCCTGCTCACGCTGCCCCCCCCCCGCTCTCTCTCCTAGAAATAAAAACATTAAAAAATTTAAAAAAGAGAGAGAGGAGGAGGATGGAGGGAGGATGCTGAGGTGGAGGTGGAGGTACATCAGGCCTTCTAAAGCACGGGGTACAGAATAGGGACACCTCCACTGGGCTCTAGGATACTACTACTGGCAGGCCCTTTCCAAGTTGACCCAGTCACCCCTGATCATCATCATACAAACCAGCAGAGCCAGGAGGTCCTCTCTTTCCCAGTGCGTTCCTTTAGAAGACTGCTGACTCCCTCCTCCCCTTGTGTTGTCTTACCAGGAACCGGTGAAAGTGGCAAAAGCACCTTTATCAAGCAAATGAGGATCATCCATGGGTCTGGCTACAGCGATGAAGACAGGAAGGGCTTCACAAAGCTGGTTTACCAAAACATATTCACCGCCATGCAATCCATGATCAGAGCCATGGACACCCTGAGGATACAGTATGTGTGTGAGCAGAATAAGGTAAGCGCCGCAGGGGTGTTGGCCCTATTTGTGGATGCATGTGTTCCTTTTCTAGAGAGCATATATGTCTTTGGACAAAAAATTTACAGAGCGCTTTGGTCAGAGGCCAAAGAAGATCTGGGGCTCAGACTCTAGAGGAGTGTGATGAACTTTGGTAGCTGCAGGATTTCTATCATGGCGTTACTGTGGTGCTCCCCAGTGCTCTGGGATTCAGCAATACGGGCATTCACGTTACTTTATTCAGGTGCAGGGAAAAGGTAACCCATTAATTTCTTCACTGGCACAGTAGAGATCTTGGGCTTACAATGGCTGACTTTCCCAGAATTCCCAGTCTTAGGAAGTAGGATAAATGCCCTGTAGACTTCTCAGAGCAATTGGTGGGGTTTCTTTCTTTATTGTAGGAGCTAAGTGATAGTTGAGGAGAGTGATGCTTATGGCCCAACTAGCCATGGGCTCTCATAAATTACTGGTTTCAAGCTGGCATTTGTTTTGCTATCAACACTGGTTATTTAAGATACAATTATGTTTAAAACCATAGGAAAATAAAATAATGAACCATGAATGTGGGAGGAGGAGGCAGATAAAATTTTATATGATATATTAGAATACAAATCCATTGCCAAACACTATATCTGAATTCATTAAGAATCTAGATTAGAAATAGTTTATTTAAAATAATTGATACCAAGGGAGACACCAGGGTGGCCCAGTCAGTTCAGTGTCCAGCTCTTGATCTCAGTTCAGGTCTTGATCTAAGGTCATGATTTCAAGGCCCAAGGTTGGGCTCCACCCTGGGTGTGAAGCCTACTTAAAATAAATAAAAATAAATGAATAAAATAATTAATACTAAGATACAACATGACATCGATAAAGGAAAATTCTAAGATGAGACTTTTGTGGGCCTGCTAAAATGAATGTAGCTGCTACAATGCCAGCATGGCTTGGGCTTTAGGGTGGGCCCCAACGACCATCACAAACAAGTTTTACACCAACTTGTAGCACCTATGTTCATGTATATTTTATAGATGATATACAAAGAGTTTCAAAGTAATCGATCTAAATTTTTATCACTCAGTGACCTAGTCACGTAGGAACGTAGCACCCACCGGTTTTTGATTTGACTTTATGCAGTGTCTGCAACCTCATGTCTTTACCACCATTTCCTTGCACTTTTGAAGAAATGAAGGCATGTATCTTGCTTCAACCTTCAAGAATGTTAGGCTGAAAAAATGTGTGTCGGTGGGGGTGGGGTGAAGAATTAGCCTTTAGTGTATCTAGTGCCAAGCAATGTAAGAGATACATACTGAGGCACTAGGAGCTTTTAGAGGTGACTGTGATGATTCCATGATACATTGGTTTTGAGTACATGTACTGTATCTGATTCAAAGTGTACAATTATTTTTTTTATCACTTATCCAGTTGACCCTTGAACAGCACAAGTTTAAACAGTGCAAGCCCACATACATGCAGATTTTTTCAACAAATGTAGTATTATAAATGTATTTTCTCTTATGATTTTCTTAACATTTCCTCTAGCTTCTTTATTGTATGAAGACAGTGTGTAACATACAAAATATGTGTTAATCAACTGCTTATCTTATCAGTAAGTTCTGGACAACAGCAGTCTATTAGTAGTTAAGTTTTGGGGAAGTCAGAAGTTATATGGAGATTTTTGACTGCTTAGGGGCAGATGTCCCAACTCTCACACTGTTCAAGGATCCACTGTACGAGGGATTTTAAAAATGAGATCATCTGTGGAAATTAAAGTTATTTGAAAAAAGAAGTATGTCAGGAATGTCCTTGTGAAGATTTTAGTTAATCCATTTTCCTTTGTTGTAAAATGCATTTTGTTTCCCGTTCATGGTACGGTGATGGGGGAAAGCCTGGAATTTAAGGGATGAACTTGTGAACAGGTCTACTGGGAAGAAAAAGCTCAAGTGTAAGTTCGTTCTATTTACCTTGGCAACGTGTGTTTGTAAAACCCAATCAGATTGAAAAATCAGGCTCTCTGGGTTTCGGTTTTGTTTCATTTTTCCCTCAAGGTCTTCCAGAAGTACTGTAACTTTATGTTTCAAACCAAAACATTTTTATGGGGTTTGGCATTCCACCACTTCCTCTTTCTCTCTTGGTCTTAATTCTTCATAAGGCCACGTCCACTTGACCACTAATCTGCATTAGGTTCCCAGGGCTGCTGTAACAAAGTCCCTTGAACAGGATGGCTTAAAACGGAAATATATGCTTTCCTGGTTCTGGAGGCTAGAAGTCTGAAGTCATCGTTGATTTGGTTCTACCTGGAGGCTCTGAGGAAGCCTGGGTTTCATGCTTCTCTCCTAGCTTTTGGCGGTGCTGGATATCCTTGGAAACTTTGGGCTTGTAAACATGTCACTCGAGGTCCTGCCTGTCCTCACACACAGTTCCTCCCTGTGTGAATCTGTTCCCATGGCATTCTCCTCTTTGAGTCCCAATTTCCCTTTTCTTATAAGGATGCCAGTCACTGGATTAGGGCCCATCCTTATCCCAAGCGTGACCTCAGCAGAACTAGATCCTGCCTACAAAGATTTCCAAAAAAGTTACTTTCTGAGAAGTTTGGGGTTTACATGAATTTCAAGGGGGATATTATTCAACTCAGTACAGTCTTCTCTCTATCTCCCATTTATGTTAGTCCCATATGTAAAATATATTATTGCTGTTCCAGTACCCTCCAAAGTGAACCCACTCCAGCATGAACTTGAAGTCTCAAATCTAACTGCAACCTCAGCTGAAAAGGTTTCAAATCTCAGCACTTAATTCCTCCAAATCAGGTGAGACTCTGGATGTGGTCTCTGCTGGGGCCAAATTCCTCCCCTATCTCCTCTTCATTTGTTGTATCTGGCTCCCTTCTCAATGCCTTCTTTCTATTTCAAGTACCTACATTTGTGCTTCATAAATTTCTCTCATCCCTCAAACAAAGGCCTGGGATGAATCACAGACTTTACAAAGAGGCATAAGATTGAGTAGAAACAACACCGGTAGTTGGTTCCCAAAAATCTGGGCTCTCTTTGTGGCTCTCCTGTGGGTTTGGGGCAGGAGCCAGCAGTCCTTTTCTGTAAAGGGCCAGAGAGTAAATATTTTTGGCTTTCAGGGCTGTATAGTCTCTTTTCTGCTCTGCTGTTGTGCAAAATCACCCATAGGAGAGGTGTCAACAAAGGAGTAGGCTCACTTGGAAACCTTACTTCAAAAATATAAATGCAGTTCTTAACTCATGGATCATATAAAAACAAGCCACAAGTGGATTTCATCCACAGGCTGTGGCTCCCCACACCCCATCTTAGGGGAGGACATATAACCTCCGTGGCTTTGCATTTCCCCAAATGGTAAATGTGGACAAAAACACATGCTCTTTCTATTTCATAAGCCAACATGAGCAAAAGGAAGTGCTTTACAAATGAAATGGTGCTACAGAAATGTAAGATTATTCCTGGGGCATCTTCAAAAACCAAAAGTGGACTTATTATTTCTTCTATTATTTGTTTAGGTCATGTTTATCCATTCCTCAGCCATTGTTTTCCATATAATTTTTTCCTGTGGGCTAATCCTGATTCCAAATGTGAAACTGTAACAAAGTACCATCCTCAGATCATAAAATGATAAAATGATGAGAGTCCATAATATTAACTAATAACTTCAAGAAGCATGGGGTCGCCTAGGTGGCTCAGTCTGTTAAGGATCTGACTTCAGCTCAGGTCATGATCTCAGTTTGATGGTTTCCAGCCTCACATCTGGCTCTGCGCTTGTGGTTCAGCTTGAGATTCTGTTTCCCTCTCTTTCTGCCCCTCCCCCACTCTTGCTGTCTTTGTCTCAAAACAAATAAATAAAAACTTAAAGAAAAGCATGATACATGTTTTCTCTACCAAGCCTTGCACCACTTGAAACAAAGGATTAATTAGGAGGAAGAGGAATAAAACTTTAGGTAACTTTTAATTTCACAAACGTGCAGTCCTTTCCTTGCTGCTTCTTAGGGACTGTTGAATTCCATTATTTTGTTTTTTTCCGTAATGGGAACACTTTCTTAAAAGTATGTAGAAGAGACTTAACTGATTTAGAGCGTCTTGTTTTAAATGTTAGTGATTTCATTTCTCAGCGAGGTTGTTAAAAATCTTTGCCTGTTACCTGACAGGCTGCTTGAGAAAGGAAATTTATCAGAAGTTCAGTTGAGCTTTTGGTTGTTAACCAACATGGTTTTTCAATTAAGATATATGGCCTGGAAGATTATTTTCTTATACTTTGCCTTTTATTTTTTTAAAGAAATGATTCATAGGTGTTTGCTCACTGTGTTGTTAGGCCTTAATTTTCATGAATGTCTCTCAGGAGTGTCATATGAGCACATAGTAGAATTTATGGCTTCTTGAATAAATACTACAAAGGCAATAGCTCATTGGCATGGCTCCTAAATTGGAGTCCACTTCGAACTCATGTTTACTATTGATGATTTCACTGAAGCCAGAGGAGCTTCATATTTGTTTTTGCTCTTTGTAGTGAGTCCAACTTGGGAAATTCTCATTCTAGGCTTGTCCTGCAGTGAAGGAAATACATTGCTTTTTATCCTTCTAAAGGTTCTGCAGAATCTGTATGGATGACTCAGACTGGGCATTTCCCAAGAAAGGACTGCTCTGCCTAGCTTCTCAAAAGCCTTTTTGCTCTATAGTCAAAGATTCCTGGAGAAAAGAGTGAGGTCTGAAGGCTCTTCGGCAGGTGGCACCGGCTTCTTCCTGGCCCTCCTGTCTGTGGGCGCTCTTCCCGACACTGGGGTCACCTCCTATTTGCGTGTCATTATGCACAGCTAATTGCAAGGGCTCATCACAAAACAAAAACAACATTTTTAAAAAGGAGAGTTAATAGTTAAGCAAGAAGAGGACTGTTTTGCCTGCCATCCAACTCTGAGAACCTAATTACTGTTTCTAAACCTGTGAGGTCTGAAATTCCCTTCAAAAAGCATCTTACTGGTCCATTGGTTACTTTTG